TACGTATGTGATTGTCATTCATCACGAATTTGCCGATATTTCCCTACCTGGTCTCACTCTGAAGGTACATATGCAGGGCCTATCACACTGCATTACATGAAGCCGGCACCCCTCCACGGTACTGTTCACACAACACAGCTCTGTTCACTGGTGTAGCTTCGAGAGTAAGTCTGCTGACTGTGTGCCACTTCTTCAGCCTTGAGGTTCTACCATTTTAGGCCAGTTTACCCGATCAATCAAAGCGTTTGCTACAATTTTCGCATTCCTTTGCGATTCCTAACAACGCCAGTTTGACAGCCAATTTCTAGATTCGTACGTCATGTTCAAATTCGATTTGTATTCGAAAGTCTTTTTTTAAATAAACCAAAACTTATTTCCTATTGCCAAATGAAATTAGCAGCAATTTACTGCAATACGTTGCCGTACTGTCGAATAATTCGCGTAATATTTTTGTACTAGAACAAAAATCTTTAAAGGCAGAGGAATCATTTAAGTTTATTTTACTTCAATATCCCAGTCTATAAAAAAAGCAATATAACAAAAAACGAAGGTACTTTCTCTAAATTGAATTACGTATTTACGGTTAAATGCAACGATCCCTTGAAATATACAAATATTATATAGAATAATATTTGTATAAAAATAATATGTCAACTTCAACAACTTAATTTTATTATTTAATTCGTTAATTATTGAAAAATCTTTGAATCACCTAATTTCTATCACTTAATTACTCTATTATAAGTGCTTCAGCTCCTTAAACAAGAAAATCTAAAAATGTCGTACACATAAATGTATTATTTCATTATTTAAAAAATACTTTAGTAAACATTTCATTGTACATTGAGGAAGGGATATTTCATGAAATACGCACGTGCTTGCACTCCCCCCGCCCCCCGACTTCACCCTTGGATCCGCCAGCGGCGTCAACAACGAGCTACAGAATCTAGCCCGATGGGCTTCCATCACCCTCCCACCCCCCACCATTCTCCAAGAGCCCTGCGCTCCCGGCCGCCGCCAGCCACTTACCAACGGGTAAATCCGCAGCTCCGCTCCACGTCTCAATTTGCGGAGGTCTTGTTCTTCGCGTCGCCAACGTTGTAACGCCGCCGCGCTCCCCTCCCCCCTCAACCTTTCGTCCGGCGCGGTCGCGGAGCGGCTGCGGGGGGTGGGGTGGGGGTGGGGGGTATCCCTCCGCTCTTCATTATCAAACTCCGCGTTATCAGAATGGCACGACGACGCGCGGCGCGGCGAAACCCCGAACTGTTGGCCTCAATTCGGATCGTGCGTAAATTATGTGAAGCTAAAGAGGAGGAAGTGATTTGATTGATTGATTGATTGATTAATTAGTAATACCGTGCGCGTCAACTACCAAAATCATTGGCCTCGTAAGGGTAGTGCATTTTCTTTCCTCGGGTGGTGACTGTGATCTTCCCCCGCTGAATGGTGAGGTCCAGTGCCGGTCTACCGTCGGTTAGCGGGGGTTTCCTCAACCAGGTATCTCCCAACAGTGGGACACTGCCCCAGCCGGGACAAGTTCTTAGCTCCCGACCGATCTCCCGGCATGCGCGAAAGTGTATGTTAGTGTAAATGTGTGTACGTAAGGGGTGGGATTGGACAAGGAATGGGAAGGGAATATCGCGCACGGTCTGTGGCACGTTTGTTAGGATACTGCTCCGACAATCTCCTCTAAACAGCGGCTGAAGTCGACGAAGCTGACAAGCTGGTGTCAACAATCCTACCACCGAGGGGACTGGAACCTCCTGGTCAGGGGCACTGAAGTTGATGCCCTGAGCCACCTCTCCCGGTTTTAGAGGTTACAGACAGTTTAAGTATTTAAAAAACAACAGTTCAGCTCCGAAAAACAAAAAAGTTAACGTTGAACTCTCCTATCAATCTATTTTGCCCCAGAACTTCGCGTCTCCAGGCCCGCAGCCCTCCTTCCCTCACCACTTGCCCGCCTTCCGACTTCTCACGAGCGCCTCCACGCGACCAGAAAAGAAACCCATTTCCCGGACGCCATTGGCTTCGCAAGCTGCCTGCCGCTTGCTTCAGGCTTGCCTCCTGGTGGAGTATAAAGTTAACAGAGGGAATCTGTTACTCCAACCAGAGAGAATGAAAATTAAACGTTAAAAACGAGAGGGGTGGGGGGAGTTTCCTTGCACGGTATAACGAATTTCAATTGTTCCAACCTCCTCCATCATCCCTCCGCCCTGCGCGCACCGAAGTGTCTAGCTCCCCCCACCTCACCCCTCAGCAAGTTTTAATCTCTCCGAAATGAGAGAAGACCGCGAAAATAAAGTGTTATTCTTGTGAATGCAATTATAGTCGGTTCCCTCCTCCCAGTCTTTTTTTGTCCGTAAGGAAATGAATTGTTACGTCGTTCACTTAAACAACAGTTGTAACTTCAAGCCTTCAGAAAGGAAGGAACACTGTATGAAGTTTACATTAAGGAGAAAGAAAAAAATGCTTACTTTCCTTAGAAAGAATTTTGTTACTAGAACATAAATCACTCAGTTTTATGGCTGAATGGTGTTTGCAGAGGAAATTTCAACAGTGGTGCCTGTCTACAGAAATCAAAAGGTTAACTTTCACTGGAAGGTAAGTACAATTCAGTCTCTTCAATAGACTCAAATTTCAATTACAAAAACAGATCTCAGAATCTTTCTGTTTAATGAAACAGCTAACTAAAAGAGATTAAAACAAAAAAATCAAAACCAGAATGATTATATACTAAGTAAATACAAAGAAATTGGAACAAAGAATACAATAAGTATGATATTGTCAGAAAGATAAATCAACAATAGAGGTGAAAAAGAAAATTTCATTTGCAGTTTGATTTCAGTAATTTAATCAAGAAGGGTGGGCTTCACTGGTTTTCTGTTTGCAATACTTCCCCAAGCTCCTTCAACCTGTTAAACAATGAGTAATGGAATTGCGAGTGATTAAAATGGCAAGACAGTCCGTCCCCTCTGGTCCTATTTACCTTCTCACATTGAAAAGCTACATTAACGCAGACGTATCATCAAAAGGCCTTATTAAATGAATGTCAGTTAAAAATCCTTAGAAACAGATTTGTTAAAAACTCACAATACATATTGCTTCAGTGAAAGACACAATAATGCAAATAACGGGTAATTGACAACACAACATGATTTGGAGGCAGCAAATCAACATAAAGCATGACCACTCATGTCTCCAATGATTTGTTTAGCGTTGTTCAAGCATCAAAGTGTGAGTAACAGATCCATCCAAGTGCCAGAACTGAATGATTCAATACTGGCAAGAGCGTAGACCTTTTTCTAGTGAAACTGACTGTACCCCCTATCAATGTACCAAAAAACAGTTAAAAATATTATTTGCTTTATCCTCCTTTCTGAGGACCTTCAACCACAGTATGTTAGCACAGATGTTCTAGAACATCACAGAGATGTGTAACTCATGTCCCTTAGGAACAGAAGGTAAATAAAATTGTATATTATAATAATAATAATAATTATTATTATTATTACGTTATATTATTATTATTATTATTATTATTATTATTATTATTATTATTATTATTATTATTATTATTAAAAGGTAAACAGTCAACTACACTTTTAGCACATGCTGTTACGTTCCAGCAAATGAAGAGCTGAGGCAAACTTTAAAATTTGAAAAGCACAAAAGGAGAGTGATTTCACAAAAACTTAACATTTTGCTAAAATAAAATCTTCAAAGAGGAAGGAATTACATCCATAAAAGTTTCATTATTAAATTTACCCTAATTAACTGTTGATATTAGAAAATAGGACACGATTTTTTCACTGTTTCAGTTTCACATTAATGCTGACTGCAGAGTTTGTCCCCTCCTTTCTTCAGCTAATGAGAGTACGATGAGGCATCTCCAAACAGGAGCACACCTCTAAACGAGCACTAAGCCAAGGGAAAGAGAACCTAACACGAAAACCAAAAGGCCTTCCAGATGGGCACTGCAGATGTATTGAAACCAGCCATCCACATGTCATCACAGTTGGACATGGAGTTAATAACCCACCCCAGAAAAAACACATGGTTCAGGAACTTAAAGGAATCATAAGTACATATTGTAAAGTTCTCCAGCATGTCATGCACACTCAAAAAAATATTCCACAACAATTGGTTCACGATTGGTTCATATTTATGTTTTCTATGCAAACAGACAGACAGAATTTAAGAGGTCAAAATTCCTTAGGGAAGGAACAAACAAGTTTCAATTAATAAAAAATAAATAGGTAATATTTTCCAAATATTTTTTGGAAAATATTAACAAAAACAAAACAATTACCTTTTGAATAATAAATAAATTAATAAATATTGATGGTAATGTGACATTTTCAACATCAGTTTAAAAATTTGTCATACTTTTTACGCACATTTTTAATTTCTCTACAAATGAAAAGTTTACATTTATATTACCTAACTTTTTTCCTGTGTTTTTCACAACTGAGAGGCAGGCAAAGGTATTACTGGCACAACTTTTCTTCAATGATGGATTGGAGAAATGCAAGTAGAGTGGGGGTATTAGTTACGTAATCAGCCGCTAGATTTTATGAAGCAATGCCAATCTCTAGAGAATCAGTCATGCCTTCGCAACTATCTCAAAAAATTGCATTCTAACTTTCTCAGTAGTTCGAGGTATCTCCTGTGATGCATCTTCACCAGCTTCGGTCATTTCTTTAAATTTTTTTTTTGGAGAAAATCACGGATAGAAGTTCTCATGTTCAACAGAAAATAGTGTCTATTTCACACTCGTGAAGATGTGTTTGGAATGTTGTCATCAGTGCTCGCTGCAAGCTTTTGCCTTCAACTGTTTATTGTAACAGAGCGGGTCATCGTTCAAGAAAAGTTGCACGAATAATAATTCCCCCAGCACCCATCTTTCTGCTATGATAGCAAGAACTTACCAATTGAGGAGGCTCCTCTGGGACTAGGTTCTTATTAAGAAATGAGTTTTCAAGTGGAGATATTTCCTCCACTGCGGCTAATTGAGCAGAGTAAATTATTGCCTGAAGATCTGCACCAGTAAACCCTTCAGTTTTCTCAGCAACTGATGACAGGTCCACATCTTCAGCCAGAAACAATTTACGGCTCAGAGACTGTAAGATCGCCACACGATCTTCCTGAACATGACAAACATATTTTATGTTATAATTGTTGGACTTAAAACACATACGAAACCAGAATTTTACCCTCTCTTCTGTTTGAGCAATGCAGTATTGTAATTCAGTTTGCTAACATACCAATGATCTTCATAGGCTTTTCTCCACAGCAAGGGCTAAAATAATATTAGCTTTGTCTGTATTATAATTCAAATGCTAGGAAACCAAATTGCAATGCGCACACACACCCTGACAGATGAGAGATTAAAACCAATTCTGCCATGATAGCTTACGATTTAATATCAAAACTTATTCCTCAAGTAAGGTAGAAGGAAACATTTAAAAAATTAAATAAATAAGCACTGTATTCAAACTAACCTTTGTTGGCAGAGGACAAAGAACTGCGCTATCTAATCTTCCAGGACGCAGCAATGCAGGATCTAGTAAATCTGGGCGAGAGGTAGCAGCCAAAACCCACACACTGTTTAAGGCCTCAACTCCATCCAATTGAGTCAGCAGTTGATTCACCACTCGGTCAGTGACACCAGTGCTATCATGGCCTCTCCTGTAAAGAAATGCGGTGGAAACTTTCATATAGTGTAGTTGACAGGTTTCTCACCCTAAAAGGTATATCTTATGGTTTATTACAGACAATTTAATTTTGATATTTTGTCTATTTTGTATCTAAATGGATTAATGTTCAAAGGCAATGAAAATGTCTGAAAACAAGGAAATAAACAATTGATCGAGAATTTCAAAAGAAAGTTTACTTTAAAAGATAACGAAAAAAATTATTTTAGGCAATTCTCTCATGTATTAGCCATTTTTACAATACTGCAGCTTGTAGCTAGAACAGATGAAGCAATGACTACATACCATATCTAGAAACTTCAAATATACAAAAGACAAATTAACAGAGAATCACCAAATGAATTTGCTAACTCAACATAGCTATTGGGCTTTTCAACGCAATATTATTGCACTCCCACATATTAATGTAAGCTGGACTCTGGCATCATACGCAGCAGCTATCATTAACTTTTTAGATACAGAGTTTTCTTCCTATTATAGATCATGTGCTATAGATTTTTTTAATTAGACAAATATGCATGACCCTAGCGGATTTTTAGCGAGTGTTGGCTAGTCTTACTGTTTGAAGACGATGGCACCTGGCTGGACACATGCCATATTATGTTAATGCAATAAAATATTATGACACTTCAACAATACCATATATTACAGTGAATGAAATATTTAAACATGAATACACTACTTTTAAAGTAGAATTGTATTGGTTTATTTTTGATATTGCCATAATGGATAAAATAAAAAAATAAAAATGATTCTGTTGAAATTAGAAAGTAAAAAGGTATCTTTCTGGTACCATTTAATTCTTATAAATGCTTCCAAATTACATTAAATAATGCATGATTGAACACATTTGTGCAAGTTGTGTTTGTGCAATAAGAAGCCTCAAATTTCATTGCAAAATGCAAATGGAAGGAAAATTTATTTAGAACAGTAAACTATCGCTTTCTTTCAAAATTTCACTATTCTTTTCCTCTGTGCTTGTTTTTCAACACTTCAAAATCAAGAAGTTCCTGATAAATAAAATGTAGGTTACAAGTACACCTGAACACACAAAGATTTTTCTTGTTTTCTCAACGTAAAATGTAGCTTCCATGCATACAAATATTACTGCAAGAAAAGAAACTGAGTTTCAAAAGAAGTGTCTGAAGCTTCTTCCTCTTATTCTTTTTAGTGTTTAGGTCATCTCTATAATAATGTTGGTGATCCATGTCATCATACTTAGCTTCTGAAGTCTCAACATAGTGAAATTGTGTGAAATGACATAGCAACCTACGCAACTCACAAAATGCCACGAGATTCTTCTTTACAAAACACTTCCCTTCCAGTTGTATACGTCAGGGCCGCAATTCATGAGAATACTGTGTTCCTGTTTGTATTTAAAGGATTAACATCACAGTACAGGCAATGGTGAATTTATGGAGCCATACTTGTGACAGAGTTAGTTTGCATAATATAGCAATGAATATATAAAATAAATACTCTTTAGGCTCTTTGCAGAAGCTCAACATCTATACATACCTGCCGTATGAGTGTAAATATTCAAGCATTTTTAAGCATTAGGGAGTATTGAAAACTGTAAATTTGCATTAGCACATAAAAATAAAATTTGTGACAATTAACTAGGGTGCTAAGGAATTCTCTCATTCAAAGATATTTTCTTACCATAAAAATTATTTTATTATCTATTTTCAATGATTTGAATAACAGAAAAATATTTACCTGGGAGCCAAGCTGTCAAATTCATCAAAAAAGAGTACACATGGTTTAGCACTTTGAGCCCTAGAACAAAGAGATAATATATAGAAATTATTCATTGTTATAAAATTATCCCAACAACGTAATCCAAATGCTTCATTGAACTTACTTTTGAAAAATTGTCCTCACTGCTTCCTCACTAGCACCGATGTATTTGGAAAGAAGTTCTGGACCCTACAAAATTCAAAGCTGAACATAGTTTACATCATTTCAAGTTACTCATTCTAAATGTATTAATGGACATTATAAAACTCTAAATTGTAAATGGACATTAAAAAGCTCTAAAAGTAGCATATTGCGAAACCAAACATTTCAAAACTTCATGTTTTATTTAGTATTACTTGGAATGTAATTTCTTTACAGAAAAACTTTTAACTTTTCATTGGTTTGAGCAAAAATTGTGTAAGTTGCAGGAAAATGTAAATGGTGAGAAATAACTTTTGCTTATATAATAATATAAAGAACATTAATTATGTGGGTTTATTAATAATATTAACTTTTAAAATAGTTGGGTTCATTCGCATTTCAAAATACACTAATTCTACTATTTTCTCTTTTGTCCCCTTTATAATACAAACTCTGTTATTGAAGCCATTTTATGATCAAATGAACACTTGAGATTTTTTATATCTGCACACAAAAATTGAACAGATTACTGTATCAAAAGGGAAAGTAAAATTGGAGTAACTACCAAAGTAAATATGCTTGTGATAGACTCTTTGTTAATAACCATGGCTCTGAACTATTATTATTAACCATGATAATAGTGAAATTCAAAGTGAAGTGCTTACATTATATAGTCGCTTATTATCATTAATGAATTAGAAATGTGCAAAACCTTTCTAAAATATATGCAACCCACAAGTAAATAATTTTCCACTTGTTACAAAAATAGAATTTTAAGTAATCCTAGCTAAGTACCAACCAAGCTCATGACTATATTGAGTATTTCTGCTTTTCTTGATCACAGAGAATTGAGAATTTCTAGGGCTTGATTGGAACAAACATACAAGCACAATTTTTCATTGTGTACATAGGGGAATTAAAGAGACCAGTAAATTTGCAAAATTGTGGGAAAAATTATATTCCTAGAATGTAAAAACAAGGTTTTACTGTCCGGGTGAAGCAGCGTTGGAATGCTGCGGTGCCAACTTTTCAACCATCTTGTCATGGTCTTCCTCCGGGCTGGACTGCTCGCAACTTGCATGAAGAAGACCACAACAAGATGGTCGAAACATCGGCACTACAGCATTCAACGTGGCATCACCCGGACAGCCAAGGGCATTCGCAGCGCAAAAAGTACCTTAACGCTGATAAAATTAAGGCCACATTCCTTGGCCACAGCTCCAGCTAAAAGAGTTTTTCCAGTTCCAGGAGCTCCATACAGCAACAAACCACTCTGAAGCCTCAACGGAGCCTGAGAAAACAGTTCTGGAAACTAAGAGCAAATGACAGAAAAACAACATTATCATTTGACAAAAAAGCAACAAAAGCTCTACTGATCAAAAGGATACAACAATGTATTTTACAAGCAAACCCATGCAAAATATTTCTATAAGCTTTATTACAATACATACAATTCTAAACTTTCATTACCATGGAAAAAATGAGGATCTTTACTTACTGAGCCAACCTGCATTTACCAGTTGCGTAAAAAGTATCAATTAACAAGGAAAGAATTAAATAAGAAAGTATGCATAGCATTTCTGTTTCATGTCTGAAATACGAATTTGCATTGAAATTTATGAATTTGCATCATTTTCATTGTTGAAAATCATCAGAAACAAATCTTGATTTAAACTTCCTTACAATCTATTAGAACAAATCAACTGACAAAAGATAGAAAAGAATAGTTGTAATAATAGAAAATAATATAGGTATAATAGAAAATATAGTTGTGAGTTAGCTGCTGTAACTCACTAGAGGGCCTTTGTTCAAGTTCTAGCAAGCACAAATTTTCAACACCAATGTGCCTCAGTTGACACCAACCCCTCCCTCACATGTAATTTTAGAGCTCAGCTATATGATCTATCATTCCTGTGGTTTCCTCCAATTGATTTCACACAGACGTTGAGACACTACTTAAAAACAAAGGGCCACAGTCATAACAACATTCTCAAGTAACCATGTACTGGCAACTAGAACATTTTGGAGTAGTCCTCCTTTTATCTAGTCAATCATCATCAGTCATTGCCTTTCATCCCTTCAGATAAGGGCTAGTCCTCATTAGATCCCAGTTCCCAGATGGTCTAGTAACCAGGAACCTGCTTATGTGTCAAATTGTTTAAATTCCATGACTTCATGGAGTGTAGTTTAGGAATACGGCTAGCGATTCTTGCCGAAATTATTGTAAAAGATTTTGGCAGTCCTGCATGTATATAAATATTAAGTAAGGGCACAATCTGGGCTGTAATGTTATTGGAGAAGGAAAAAAAAGAAAGAAAGAAAAATAAAAAAGGATAATGAAACATACTTGAACAGGCCACTCCAACATTTCCACAAGAAGCTTTTTGGCATCACTGAGTCCTCCTATGTCTGCCCAACACAGCCCTGCATCCTGAACCAGCTCTACTCCACGCAACGCTAAGGGTTTCATCACTTGAAACGCCTTCTCCAGGTCTTCATTCTGCAAGGCTGGATCCCCTTCTGAAAAATCTTCAGCTAAAGCTGAAGAAAATATGTCATACATCATCTTAAGTACCTACTTATAAATACATTGTAAGTGCTCTTATCATATATAAAGACTTGGAAAAGGCCATAAAGCCCCTCCCAACAAATGAATGAATAAATTGAAGCACCTAGGGTCTTTTTTTCTAAAATAGGGCAAAACATGGATTAGGCCTACTGGAGAAACCATTTATTAAAAAAACCAAATACTTTGCTTTCTACCTCCAAGGTGGGGCAGAATAGAAAATAATATTTTCTAAATTACGTAAGGTGTTGTGGCATACATGAAACCTACCAAGATATTAGTGCTTAGGTGAATGGAACATGAATTAAACACACATATATACTCTTGGTAGTATCCTCAAGAATCATTTAATGTCGACATCTCTATCTGTTCACATGAGGGAACATGAGAAGGCAATGTATATTCAGTCTACTTTTCTGTAGAGTGAAGAGTTGTTACTGTCAGAATGTTTAGTATTCATTACAATAACCAAATTAAGCACTTCATAACACTATGGGGAAGAAAAGTATTGATATGCTTCACATTCCTACTAGTTTGAGATTAAAACTCTAATGATGTGAATATGAAATAGCAAGAATATTACCTTTACGCTTCCAAGCTTCAAATACAGCTTTCTCCATAAAATCTACCAAATCTTGGACCACGTAGCCATCACTTTTTTTAGCAAAAGAATCAAGATCAATTTGTGTCTGTTTAAGAGAAACTTTACTTTCCAATAATTTCTCTAATATTTTTAATCGATCATCCTAAAAGCAAAGAAAAGATAATATGATAACAAAATTTTTCCTGCATCATTTTTCATTGAACAATACAATGAAACGAAACAATATTAAAAAATCAACTCTTTTTCACCAAAAAATTACAATCCCTTAAACATTCACCACCAAAGATTTATTTACATATTCCAAAATAAATAAGCAATAGTAGTTGCATTGGGATTCACAGAAATCACACATGCTAATGACAGCTCAGAAAGAATGCTTGAAAACAATAACACAAAGAAATAGGGAACAATAAAGAAAAAGGACCATCAAAATAAATAAAGAAACTTATTTAAGAATTTTAATTTCAAAAATAAAAAACTCATTTTTTCCCTATGTATTATAGCCACATGTGAAAAGTACTTATTATTTCTTTCTGATACAATATGTAATTCTATACTAAAAAAATGTATTGAAGGCAGCATGATACCATTTGGGCAGCTGTCCATTTTGCAAGGCCAAACTTCAAATTAACAATATTATCTCAACAAATAAAAATCGAGGAAAACAGTATGCTGTATTTCTGTTTTTAAGGAATAATTTCAAGTTTTGTAGTCTTCTCAGAATTTTCCCTGATTTCTAATGATTCTTCTATAAATTCCTTGATTTTTCCACAGCAATGAAATTTAATGATTTTTCCTCATTTTCCATAGATACAAGAAAGTGACCATGACACCATGAAACTATTCACATACCAACCTTACTGAGCTCTGGTACATCTAGCACAGACAGAAAAGTGTGTTGTCCTCGAGCAGCCATAAGGGTAGAGTTCAACTTGCCAGACGATGCTGTAGTTGCTAGAACAGCTATTTTGAATGTTGGTTGATAATCTTGAAGTAGTTCCACTAGCATTTCACCTACCCTATTACAGAAAATTGAAATGTGCCATCATTTCAAGCAGAGTATAAACATCCTTGCATTTGAAATTGCAGCAACCAAAATTATAAATATGAAGAAAAAAAAGAAAAACACATTATAAATATGAAAAGACAGAATGGCACAATTCAAAATACTAATATATGGAAAGCCAATACTATTAAATACTTTTATTGTCATATGAAACCATTATTTCAAAACAAAAATTGAAAACTGAGATACACCATACACAGCAAATCGCACTCAAGGTCTGATTTTTTGATGATACCTAAGATCTGACGTTGATGAGGCAAAATTCAGGTATGCAGAACATTGCACAACAAAATTTTGGTTAATGAAAAGAATAAACTTTTTTAGGTTTAAAATCATGTGTTTCTGTCTTTTTATTTCTTAAAATTTTTAATATCTTGTGTCTGTTAAACAAACTATGTGGCCAAACTCATCTAATGAAACATGTTCTACTCTAGTGTTCACAGTAATTACATACAGTGATCCCGAATTTTTAAATACCAACCTAAATTCCTTAGTCTTGGATAATAACTACTGAACAACAAGTCATTTTAAAAATAAGCTCTTCAATTAAGTCCCACTGATTAGTGATTCCGAGCTAAGGTCATTAGTTCCATAAGTGTAGTGCATGCCACCCCCAGGAGGTGGCTGTAATCTACCCCCGCTGGATGGTAAGATCTGGCGCTGACCTACCATCAGCTAGAAGGAATTTTCCCAAACCAAGTATCTCCCACCAGCAGGGCACCACCAGGAAACAAGCTCCAAGTTTCCAGCCAATCTCCTGACGTGTGTGGTAGTATAGTGCACGTTAGTGTAAGTGTGTATAAGTAAGGGGTGGGGATAGTACAAGGAAGAGGAAGGAAAGATTGTGCATGGCCTGTGGCCCGTTGTGAGGGTACTGCTCCAGCATTTGCCTGGCGTTGATGAGACCACTGAAAACCACTAATCAGAGCAGACGGCTGCTGGAATAATCTGGTCAGCAGCTGAATGACTCTGGCCTAGCTGTTGAGCTGGTGTTGAAAATCCTGCCGCTTTTGGGAGTGGAATCCTAGGACCTCCCAGTAACAGTTACTACTCTGAGCCACCTCCCCTGGTATTTATGCCCAATCAATACACACCTGGTGTAATACCTCCCTTCCTGTGCAGCCTCCTGATCCGGGCTGGCAGTCGCAGCCAGAACATCCAAATCCTGAAGCAGCAAAATTGATGGTTGGTGAAGGCTGCATTCCCCCAAGGCTTGGGAGAATAATCTGAGAAGATTTTCCACTTTCTTTCCTGTGACAAATTTTGACTTAGAGTAAAAACTCTCTGTTCATAATGTATCATTTAATAGTTATTATTGTTAATGTGAACAATAATTGACAAAAGTTTAGAAAATATTAAAAAATTTTGAAGGATTATTGTAGGTCAGATATTAAACTATCTATTTTGAAGAGCTGTCTGGAATGGCATACGCCAGAAACAATTTCTAAAATCAACCTTTAACAGGAATTAATACAAATTCTTACACACCTAACTTAATTTACACCTAATTCATCCCTACCTTTAATGTTTCTGCACTGTATTTCCACGCAGTGGACATACCACGGTGGCCCACGAAATTTATTACACAAATGTCTTGCCAAAGTACTCACTCCACTTCCAGACTTTCCTGTTAAACCAAGAATTAAACATTAAAACAAACACATACTAAGAAAGCTCAACTACAAGGAACATTTAACCCTGTGATACACACGCTAGTATAAGTTGGTGGAGTACATGCAGTGATCATTCACATGCTTCATCTTCCTTTTAAATGATGTTGCTTCACAAACTGACTACTGGGTGTTTCAGACCCAAACACACATCAAACATATTTTCTGGTATAGATATTTTAAAATTTTAATAAACTACAATGTTTATCAACAATAAAAACAAGATATGTGTTTGCTTTAACTATTGTAAACTATAATATACGCTGTTATCTGCAGTATGTTGTACCATGCAAGGTTTAGTTGGGACTATTCTGAAGATGACAGCATGAAGTATTTTCTTGAACATGCAACTATGACATCTGAGAACTACCAGAAAGAGGTACTGAAAAGGACAGTATTCTGAGAAATTTGTATGACACGTTATCAATGGTAGAACAACTCAGTCATCTGAGAGATAGACAGCATCTGCTGCAAGGTTAATACACATTTGGAGAGATAGAATAATGTCAAATAGATATCTTGATAAGTAGAATCAGCAGAAGAGCAAAATAGTACATTTTATAAAAGTTCCAAATGATCTAAGTTTTGGAAAAACAAAACAAGATAAAAAATACTTGCGGCTAATAAATGTGTGGGTAGAAACAATTTTTTTTCTTTTAATTAAACACACAGTTTTATTCAAACAATGGTCACTAACTGGCTGAAATATCAACAGTGATCTCCTACACAAATTAACAATGGCCATGCTTACCACAAAATAATGCAAAACACACAAGAAAATTACTACTCTTGACTTAAAAAAAGGAAGATTATTTGTTAGCAACCTGCAATTCTCCTGCACTTGGAATTTATTTTTACATTAAGTAAAAAATTTTGCTCACGTACCTACTACACTTACCTCTGAGAAGAACATTTGCAACTGACATCGAGGTTTCCTGAAGAGACCATGGCACACTTGTTAAACCTAGCGTAATTTCAATATTTGTCATTCCCAGAGTAATTTGTTTCTCTAGATGGCTATAAAATAGGAGAAGAAACAAATATTTTTTGGCTTTAAGTAAACCTCAAAATTCCAATTTAATACACCCATGATTCACCATTTTAGAAACAAAACTTTATAAAATCTGTTCACAAAATTAAATTAAATTGCGCAGGGAATATATTATAAAAATTCTAACAAAATAGTTTGTTTACCATTGAAAATAAGTTTTATATATATATACATACATATGAAGAGATATTTTCTCTCCTGATCCGGGCTGGCAAGTTCGCAAGCCAGAACATCAATTACCTGAAGCAGGTCAAAATTTTGATTGTTTGGTGAAGTGGGCTGCATTTCCCCCAAATGGCTGGGTAGATATTAATCTGAGAATGATTTTCACTTCTTTCCTGTTGACATAATTTTGTACTTTAAGAGTTAATAAACTTCTCTCATATATTGTTATTATTTAATTAAGTTTATTATTGTTAATTGTGAATCAATAATGACAAAAGTTTATGAATAAATTAAAAATTTTTTTTTTTTTTTTTGAAGGAATTTATTGTTAGTGTCTCAGTTTTATATGTTTATAACTATCTATTTTGAAGAGTCTGTTCTTGGAATAATGGTTGCTATTATTTCTCGCTCATGAAACAATTTCCTAATATATCAATCGCTTTTATTTAATCAGGAAAATTTAATATTTCAAATTTCCCTTTACACACTCTAAACTTAATTTACACCTTAATTTCATGCCTATCTGTCTTTTATATGTTTTGCACTTGTAATTTCCATTCGCAGTGGACATACATATTTACGGTGGCCCACCTGATAATTTTAATTACAAGTCAATATGTCTTGCCAAAGTATTCTTACTTCCACTTCTCAGATCTTTTTTCCTTGTTTACAACTTCAAGGAATTAATATCATTAAATAACTAAACACATACTTAAGTAAAGCTCACTATCAATATGGGAACAATTTTAATCCTGTTGTTATACTCACACGGTCTATGTTATTATTTTAGTTGGTTGAGACACGCTAGTGATTTTCATTTTTCACATGCTTTTTCATCTTTGGCTTTCAAATGATTGTTTGCTTCCATGCAATACTGACTATTGGGTTGTTTCAGTACCGCCAAACACACTATTCAATTCATATTTTTTTCTTGGTATATTTGATAGTTTACATAATTTTTATAATAAACTTATCATTTATGTTTTTTATATTTCAACAATATAAAAATCAAGTATATGTTTGTTTTGCTTTTTAACTTTTTATAACTATAATTTAATATTCGTCTTGTTTATCGCTTTGCAGTTATGTTTGTATATTCCATGCTAAGGTTAGTTGAGTACTATTTCTTGAAGATGAACATGCATGATTGTTATTTTTCTGAACATGCCAACTATTTGACATCTTGAGCTACTACCAGATATATATGAGTGTTACTGAAAAGGACAGGTATTCTGTTTAGAAAATTTTGTAATTTGTTCTACGTTTAATCTAATGGTAGATACAATCTTCAGTCTATTCTTGAAGATGATATGCTACACATCCTGCTGCAAAGGTTTAATTACACCATTCGGTTTATGAAGATATGGAATTATTATGTCATAATATGATATCTTGATAAGTTTAGATATCAGCATAATTCGTTAAGAGCAAAATTAGTAATCATTTTATAATATTAAGTCGCAATGATCTATAGTTGTTGGAAAACAAACTACAAGATAAAAAAATACTTGCAGCTATAAATAACGTGTGGGTCTAAAATCAATTTTTTTTCGTTCTTAATTTAAATCACACAGTTTAATTCAAACAATGTCACTAACTGTGCTGAAATATTCTATACAGTGATCTCCTACTACAAATTAACAATGTGCCTATGCTTACCACCAAAATTATTATGCAAAACACAACAAGAATAATTAACTTTACTCTTGACTTAAAAAAAGGAAAGATTTTAATGTTTTGTTTAGGCAACTCTGCAAATTCTTCTGCGCTACTTGAATTTATTTTTTACTATGTAAGTGTTAAAAAATTTTGCTCACCTATCCTTACTTATCACTTACCTTCTGAGAAGAATAATTTTTGCACTGACATCCTGTGTTTCCCTGACAGAGACCATGGCACACTTGTTAAATCCCTAGCGTAATTTCAATATTTGTCCATTCCCAGAGTAATTTGGTTTTCTTCTAGTATGGCTTATAAAATTAGGTTTAAGAATAAACAAATATTTTTTGGCTTAATTAAACCTCAAAATTCCAATTTTAATACATCCCATGATTCACCATTTAGAAAACAACAAATACTTTTATAAAATCTTGTTCACAAAAATAATTAATGCAGAAATAATTTTAAATGCTGCTTAGGTAATAATTATAATTAAATATTTCTAAATAAATTTAGTTTGTTTTTACCTATTGTAATTAATAAGTTTTATTATTTATATTATTATTATTATTATTTTATTTATTATTTACTTCTATATTTATATTTTTGGACTTTTTTCTTATTCATTTTCAATTCTTAAGTACATTTGGTGGTGAT